AAAATACGGTTGTTGCCAAAAAGGAGCCGATTGAAATTGATTTTGCTGGTTAAATCGGCTGTCGTTCTGCCAAACATTCCTTTGGTTCTGATCGCGGTGGACATTGCAATGCTGACTATTATGATCATGTTGCTGTAATGGTTGTTGTTGCCACCAAGTAGCTGAATTTCTACTGTATGCTTGGTAATTATCATCACGACGACGATTCATCCTTCTCCAGTTATTTGTGTGACTGAATTGATTTCGGCGAGTATTGATGTTGTAGTGTGTATCGTGTCTGGCATCGTTTCGGGCATTCCCAATCAATCGACGATTTCGTTTACCAGTGAATTCACGTTGTGACGTTTGGTTGTGCTCAGTAAGACCTTTGTGTTGTTTTGGCGGTGATGAGTTGACCGTTTTCGATGTATTCATTTCTTTCTCAGCGACGGCTCTAACAACAAAAGGCTTTATAACCCAATTTGGGTCCCAATCATTGGATTCGATAATTTTGTCACAAACTTCAGAAGAGAGAGTCGAAATTTTGAATGATGAAAAATTTCTCGGCTTACCTCTGTAGCGTTTGTTTGGTAATTTCTCGACATTAAAACTGCTGGTGTGAATATCAGATTTGCCAATGATGATAGCAGCTACACCATCAGTTGTTGTTTCTTTTGGTAAATGAGAAACATGAATCGAGAAGACACCATTTACTGGGGATATTTTTTTTGTTGCATTTGCATTATCTTTTGTTGTTTGTTTTGTTTGGATTGTACTATTTTCATCAATGTGACAGGTATTCCGGTTGTGTGGTGTTTGAATTCCATTCGTAATAATGACCTTGACTGCATCGATGATTCTGTTGCCAAACGATTCGATAATTTTCTCAGATTCAGTTGTCATATTGTTGTTGTTCACGGACTCAGTAGATGATTGCTGAGATTTGAGGTATTGTACTTCACCTTCCAGTCTTTCCACTTTGAGTTGCTTAGCTGTAATGGTTGCTTCCATTCTTTTCATTGTATCACGCATACTCGGTTCGGTTGACAGTTTGCAAAATGCACAGTGGATTGCAAAGGGTGAATTGTGGTCAAAAATTATATTGAAGCTCCGTTGGATTTTCGTAACGTTGTCTTGTTCTGCATCAAATGTTGAGGTTATGATTCCATAAGTTTTCAATAACTCGGATGTTTCGGATCGGTTTTGAAGGCATTCCAAAAATATTTTTGATCCACATTTTGAGCACTTCACATGTAGTCCATTCAATTTTGCTCCTATGCATTGATTTTCGGTACACGAGTGAAATATTGAGTTGACTGTGTTATTCAAAAAGTTTGTTGACATTTTTGAAGTTGAGTACTATGTTGTTGGTTCGTTGATGTGTAAATAATTTGTTTTTTTTTTCTTCAGTTTATTTTGATGCAATCATGTAGACTTCAGTTTTTCCCGGTGAATAAAGTGTTTAAATCTACAAATCACTGCAGGAACTTAAATAACATGATTTAATAAATATTGAAAAAAAGGAAAAAAAATCTTTTGTTTACGGAGCAAAAAAAAACAATGTTTTCTCTTTGACAGCTTTTGACAGACCTCAAAACACAATAATGTTTAAAGACATTTTGACACAATAATATTTAAAGTGTGTATAACACTGTTCTCAACAATTTCAAATTACAAAAATAATCTGATGGGACTAATTAATCCCGACGATTCGCTGGAAATTACCACAGTAATATGGATTTTCACTTCAAACCGTACTGTAATTCGGAAAATAAAGAATTCAGTACACATACGGTCTCATAGCTCAATACAACTACTAAATGTTCGTATTAAATCACCGTGATTGTAAGGTCTTCCATACCGCAAGCATTTAGAATCAATTTACACTGTTTTCATTTGAATTGCCAAATTAGTACGCAGAGCTAGCCATAAGTTAGGAGCATGACGAAACAATGAAAAAATATCTATTGTCTTCAAACCAATGGGTTATGTATGCCTAGACCCCCCATCCCGCCGGGAATTGCCGGGAAATTCCGAAAAATCAGGATATTTTCACTGCCTTCCCGATACCCGGTTTTTGTTCGTTTTCTAGTCAATTTTCCCGATATTTCTTAAAATTTTAAAATACCAATTTTTTTATTCAAATCATAGAATATTATCTTTGTTCGATGATGAATCATAACAATCGAATCAACTTTTGCAACATGGATTTAATCAGTACATATGTTTTGGCGAAGAAGCAGAAAAGAATAATTCTCAATATAAATTAATCGATTACCTACATAAACATATTTAATTTTGGCGATCATTTTATCAAATAAACAACTGTAGACAATAAGTCGACAAAAATGAGTCGACAGCTAGGGGGATTTCTCACACAAAATTATTTCTTCTTTTTTATTGAAATTGTATGAAAATGTACTGAAATGACGATTTTGCTTGAATAAAAGTGTTCTGGAAGTGGGTTTTGGAGGATGCCCGGGAACAGTTCTGAACGATCCTTGAGATCCAGCAAAACCCACTTCCAGAACAATTTCATTGAAGCATAATTCAAAAGTTCAGTGTAAATATACATTTATTTACACGAATTGACAAAAATTGATCGAATCGGACCGAATTGAAGAAATTTTTCAAAATTCATAAGAATTCATTCATTTTTTTCGTGAGAAATCCCCCTAGGACAGTACTAAAGATGTTAAAGTAATCAATTAGTTTATTCCAAGAATTATTCGTTTCTGCTTCTTCGCCAAAACATATACACTGGTTACATCTAACTGCTGATCGATTGCAAATTGTGAGCGCATCGATTTCGAATTGTGAGTGTAATTAGTTCAGTTACTCACTGACCGCTAAAGTCGTCCGTATGCGAACGGTGCAGTGCGACTGCTTCTTCTTCTTAACTAACACATCTATACATATAAGTCGCCATATTGGTTATAATGTTCACAAATGACACGCAATACACTGTAGTATTATAAGAAACTGTGTATGGGTTTACATAGGGATGGCTAAAGTGTAAGCATTGAATTCAATTGGAAAAATCCAAAATATTGTTTTCGAATTATAATTTCATAATGCCAAAAGCCACTAAATACAACAAGAGTTGGGAAACCGAAAAAAACACCAAGATATCGTGAAAGCAAGACTAACAACAATGCCAGTTATCAAGTGTTTCGACAATAAAGACAATTTACTGAACGCCGCGAAAGAAGCGATGTTCGTCTATCGCAATACAATCTGGTGCTAAATACCAACAGGACATGAATCGAATGTCACAGTCTGCTCTACTACTGAATAACATGCCATAAATTGAATCTACCGAGGACAATTGCTAATTTTCACGTTTTTGCTTAGAAATATCTTCATGAACTTCATCATATTTATATAAATTTTTTTTGCTTTTTCCTTTCAATAATATTCCCGATATTTTTCAATAATAATCCGGATTTTTTTTATAAAAACTCCCGATATTTCCCGATTTTTCGACGACGAATTCCCGATATTTGCCAAAATCGATAGATGGGGGGTCTATGTATGCCCTAATTGCTGTGGCAATTGTATTGAAGTATCATCCAAGACACAAACTTAAGTTCATGTAGCTGACACCCGACGCCAGCGCTATTGTTCTGACGTCTTATACTTGGGATATGGAGCCTTCCTCATGTTTGGTCCACTATTTCTACCAAGAAATGCATGGATATCTGCTATAATAAAACAGTCTCTTGGAAACATACACGCATATCAAAGACAAGCTCATGGACAAACAAATTAGAACTCAAGTGCCACAAATGTGCAAGTATTCGAACAAAGTGCAAACTTCGTTTCGTCAATACACAGCGAGCAAAGCCAAAAATTTAATTTAAAATATTGACAAGTTATTTTCTTATATCCCTACAAAATGTTTAGGAATATGGATATTTATCTGTTATTCTACCAGAGATGACTTTAGCGCACCCGAATATTTTTGTTGTTTTTTCGTTGTACTTTAGCTTTTTGGCCAAATTTTTTTTTTAATAATATTTTTTGTAGGGGAATGTTGTAATGAGTGGACCACTTAAGCCATTTCGGCTATAATTTTTTTTCTATGAGGAATTATGTAGAGTTATATATACGGTTGGATAGCTATTGACATAAGCTAAAAGTTCTTTGCAGCCATATTTGTTTATCTCTTCAAAAAAAAATTTGGTCATTTTTCCAAAGTTTTGATTTTTGGCACCCTAAAATTTTGTAGTAATGAGTGATAAAAATCCTAAAAAATGTCAAAAAATCAAGTAAATGTCATAGAATATCAATGTTTGTTGGATATTTATCGAATTTCCAAAGTTCTAATGAATAGTTTGAGCGTCCGAAACATCGAAATCCACGTCTCTTGGAAGTCATATATTTACAGGTGAATTAGATTGTGATCATATTTTCGTCATTTGGATGAACGGAAATTGTACACTAATTGCATTTTATGACGTTTTTGCGGTGCAATTAAGTCAACACTACACTATACACGGGTTTTCGATCTCAATTTGATGTTTTGGGCGAAGAAAATAATGGGTGGCTCACTCATTAAATTAAAAGCCATTTCGGTTGACTCACTAAAAAAAATTTGAACATCAAAATTACTCCGAAATAATTTTAAATGATCGATATCATGGCCTGAGCTAACCAAAAAAACAAAACTCTACTTAAAAAATACGATTTTCGAACTTGTTTCGGGCTTCGGCAAAATTCAATTTCTTATAAAAATGATTTTTTTTCCCACTAATTTTTTTAACAATGGGTTTTTGCACTCAAAATAACTTGCGATATATTCTAGATTTGCTATATAAAGGTTTTTTAATAAGGCAAAACCGTTAAAAATACTTGTTTGACATTTCGACTTTGATTTCGTAAAAATCGGTTGGGTGGCCCACTCATTAAGATGATCCACTCATTACAACATTACCCTAACACAGAAATAACAATGGAAAATATATCCGTATGTTCCACTATAACTTTGAACACTATTCGCTGAAACTAATCTGATATTTTCCATTTTTTCGATTCAATCTCACTGCCAGAGACGAGTTCTCAATGCAAACATTTATTATAACGAATGATATACACACTTCCCGAAGCAAAAAGAACTGTCTAATTTGAATTGTCTAATGTTTTCGGAACGCTACCCAGCATCTGCCAAATTCAAACATTTGAAATGACAACCATTCCAACTACTATGTGCCGAACGAACCGTATAAACAAACTTCTAACAAGAACTTCGATTTGTGTATGTGTTTCACATTAGGAGCGTGATTTTGGCACGAACTTCTCTTTCATCGCATACAACGCAACACAACACAACAGACTCATTTGTTATTGTTATGTTTGTTGCGTTTGTTTATTTGATCCCGTTATCCGAGCATGTATTGAGTTTCTATATCGGAACCGATTAAACATGAATTTCATCACGAAATGAGTAGAGTTGTTGCGGTACGGTATTTATGTCAAAACCATATTCAGCTTTCAAACGGGGGCCGGTTGATTCATATCGATCTGAGCATTTGAAAAGGCAAGTTGATTGTTGTGAATATTGTTCGATTTACAGTGATTGTTTTATTCGTTTTTTGTTCAAATTAAGTAATTTAGTTAGTGTTTTTAGGTAGAAAATACATGATATCGAATTAGTTTTCCTCATTTTGATTTTTCGTTTGGTGGTGATTGTACACAAAGTGGCTAACATTTTACCGTGCTTGCGATTTGTGTTCCGAAAACAATCAATTCAATTGTTTAAATGTCGAACAAATCACGACCTGCCTATAAAAATGAACATATAATATGATGAAATTTGCTCTTTTTTGTGAATCTCAATCATCTAATCAATTTCTCATGAATTTGTTCATTTTTTTTTATTTAATAGTTATTCATCATGGCCCGTGGAGCCTGTGGAGCTCGCGGTGGAAGCGATGAGAGATTCACAACAGTGAAACTGGCTCTACGAACAATCATCCAAAAACCGTATCGGCTGATTTTGACAACAGTGATTGGGGAAATGAGCATCATGGCGACGCTAATCTCACTTTTGGCATCGCTCTATTTTCTATATCTGGTAAGTTTTTTTTAAATTTTCACTGTTTTCGCCATTTTGTACGACCATCTTGAACCGATTCGATTCATTCAAATTGAACAAAAAAAACCATTGTTCTTGTTAGGTTAATACGGCGGTCGATGAATTCAACAACGACTTTTTCAACAGCAATGGTGATGAAATCATCAAAATGTGCTTCCAAGGTGTGCTCCGGCAAAACTACACCAATGATCGAATGTTTATGGTCCCAGGTTTCCGGCAAATGGTTATCAACCTTCTCGGCGAATGGTTTCCTTGGCCAACGAACAGATTTTTCGGCAATACATTCAAATACCTGTACGAGCAATATGCCACAAACGTCAAGACCAACCTCAAAACGCATTGCGAAAAGCGTTTGAGAAAGTTCTTCAAAATGCGTTGCTACGAATTGAACCACATGTGTCTGTGTGGAGATCTCGAGCTGGACGAATTATTCGATGGTGACGACATCAAAAATGCCATCAACTACACATACAACCGAAGAGATTCAACGCGTGGCAATACAAATGCCATACGGAAATTGGAAATACTGTTGGCCGAGCTGTATTGGATTGGAGCACCTTACAGACCAGATGATCCACACCCATTCAACATCAAAGAATTCGTTGAACTCAATTGGTTCCAAGCATTGCGCATGTTCGTTAATATACAGCGCGATATTCATAACTTTCACCTCGCGTTTGCCAATCTACGCCGAAGTTGGAATCTGTTCCGAAAACATCCGCTCTATGTGCAAGAGCCAGAATTTCCAGAGCCGCCTGAAATCACCACCTTCACAGTCATTCCGAAGTGCACATTCCAGCGCCGGCACGTGAAAATTGATACGGATTCATTGTACAATATTTTATGTGGCATTAAGGCAATGAAGCGAGAAGATGGTCTTCGAGTCAACAAGAAAGGCGAAGTCCTCCAGCGCTACATCTCACAGACTAAATTTAAAAGAATTGGAAGCTGGCGTTCGTATTTCAACATGGACGAAATTATCAAGCTGGTCAAGAATAAGAAGGAATTCGGCGATTCGATAATATCAGATGGTGTGTCAGCGTCGGTGTTATTCAAATTGCCGAAACAGAGCAAAACTGTTGCTGATGAAGATGAGGCCGAAACCAAACGAAAATATTTCGCAGGCGAATTCGCGTATGCATTGGGAATTGATCCAGGCATGCGAACCTTTATTGCGTCGGTCCGCCTCGATCTAAAGACCGGCGAAGAGGTAAGTATTTACAAAACGAAAAAAGGAAGAAGAAGAAGAAGAAGAAGAAGTATTAATTCACTTGTGTTGCATTTTATTTTCAGACCAACGAGAAGATTTCGTTCAAACAATACCATCTGAAATCGAAACAAGATGCGCGCAACATTAAAGCCGAACGAATGACACGAGTCTTCACGTATGACGAACAAGCGGACCTCAAACGTATCGCCGCAGAGATTGGCCAGACACCATCGCCACGGAACATCTCTTGGCGCCATTACATCGAACATCGCCTGCGAATGTCCCAAGATGGTATCGCGGCATACAGTCAGAAAAACTATGCACGCTTACGTTTGGACAAACACATTGAATGGCGTCGTGCAATTGATCTCATCGCCGGTAAGCTGGTACATTTCAAGACAGCTATCTTCAACATCGAAGCAGCCGAAATTTCACCAAATTGCCCGATCCGAATCAAAAAGTACGTGCGTTGTCCAGGCGTTCGCAAGCTGATTGCAGCCTTCAAAAGACGTGGCAATTGTGTTGTTCGGTTAGTGGATGAATACATGACATCGCAACATTGTGCCCGATGCTTCAAACGGTTCCCGATATGGACGAAGAGCAAACGATACAAGAAGTGCAACGATTGCCAACCAGATGAACGTGTTGGACTTCCGAGAACCATCTATACGAACGTGTGCAAACGAGTGTTGCAAATGCAACGGAAAATCATGCTGCTGAAAACGCTGGAACAGAAGACGCTGCACAATCACGCAAGTTGCTCAAATCACTTTGGCATCGGGACATATCAGCAGCCAAACTGATCATGTACAAAAGTTCATTATCTATTAATATTTCATTTGAAAATTGGAATCGATTTGATTTTCGCTTAAATTAATTGTTATTTGTGTGCTTGTTTTCTATTTACTTAGGTCTTTGCACGCTGCTTGACATTCCGATACATCCAGCATTGCTGCGACGACCAGATGACGACGGCGTTCCACTCAATCCATAAATCAAAATCCAGCGTTTAGCATTAAAGTTTTTTTTTAACAAATATCTTCTAATAGTTTATTAGAGTTCTCAAGCCTTGCACTTAGTGGGCTATTTTAAGGTTTATAAGGTGTCTAACTTTATTTACCGCAGTACATGAGTGGTTTTATAGACGTTATTTGATGATCAGAATGAGTCGTGTTCATTTTCCGGTTTGACAATGTCGCCGCATTCTTTGGATATGACTTGTTCAATGCATCATATCACGGTGAGTAGAATTTGTTCAACGCTTCGGGGCGAGAGTTATTTAGACATTTGAATGGAAAAGCAGTCTTTTTGCTTCGGGAGGTGTGAATATCGATTGCTCCGTTGTGTGAACACCACTAATTGATACAGAATTTTTTCCTTTTTAATTTAAAATCTACCATTTTTCTTTTTCAGATTATGAAAAACACCCTAATGTACATTGTACGCCCATAACAAAAATGAAATTATCTTCCGCATTAAGCCCAACAGCATGCATTAATTAAAAGAGCCATAAAAAACAATTGGTTTAAATCAATTTTCAAAAGACATATATTTAGGAGAACTCTCATTGATATTTTTTCTCAACTTTTTAGTTTTTTTAATTCTTAAAACACAAAATCAAATACAGTTAATTTGTTTGGGTCACGTAGCGCTAGCAAAGAGGGGAGCGAAGCAATTCTGCTAAATCAAATTTACAACCAGTGATTGGCAGTGTTAAATAAATATGAAAAAAAACACAGTAAAGCGCAATGGTAATATATTCAGAAGTGAGTTCAGTTTGCATTGCTTTCCCTATCGGAAGATCACTGACTTGAATCATGAATGACGTTTAAAATTTCATTTGTGACAAATGCCATTTCCAATGCTTGGGTAAACCTTATGATGAAAGCATTTACTTATACTTCCTAAGTATACCGTATAGATGCCGTTAGAGCATTCATTGCTGAATATTTTACATTTACAGCGCACTTGGTTGCATGAAAATAATAATAAAAAATTTCATTCCATTGTCTATTGATTTTGTTAAAAAAGGTGTACAAAGAATTCTGTGAGTATCTTATATATTCTAATGACCTAAAATGGTCGACTTGCTACTCAGGTATGATATTGAGCATGGCTACCAAGTAAAAGTTATTATTTCGACGAAAAATAAAAATCAATATGATTTTGAATATGATTATCTTCGATGCGGTTGATATGTTCTGCAATAAGTTTTATCATGTCGAGTTGGAACAAATAATAACAACATTGTGCGACGAAAAAATGCCAATGTAAACCAAGTCATTTGACTACAGAATCTGTAAATTTCGTATAAGGTACCCGACACTAGGGCCAGTGTGATTTTCGGATGTTTTGAATTTTCATTAAATTTGCTTCCTTAAAATAAATAAAATTAAATAAAAATTTTGTTTCTGGTTCGAAAAGCGCCGAACATTTATTTTTGTCTCCATGTATGAGAATAATTAGGTCTCCTTTCTTAGGCTTGGAAAAGTTTCGTCGCACGGTATAATACTATCATCAATAAATTACTATTCATGACCTTAAAATATGTGCAGGTCTCATTCTTATATACAATAATCACGCCGTTTCTATTATGGCAACGACAAAACATCATCGAATCGATGAAAAAGTTCTTTGTTTCTTTCTTGAAATCCATTTTTGGATTCCACTATAAAAGAGTTGAAGTGACTTTAGGTGGTCTTTAATACTGTGAACTTCAATCGAGCAACACACAGTTTTTTTTCTTCAGAAAAACCTCTTTGATTTGAATCGTTGTAGGAATTGATTGTAGAGTGAGAGTTTTGAATATTAAAAAAATGAAAAGTACTGTTGACCTCATTGGATGTTCATCATCAAGATCCCATCGTCCAAAATACGTGAAACAATCACCAAGGTCTAGCAACAATAGTTTCTCCAATGGACACAATCGTAAAAATCAATATGGGTATTTAATTGTTTCAATTCAATATTCCTCAGTCGCCTTTTGTCAGCATATGTGTTCGCTATGAAGGGGTAGTATTTTCACCATGGCAACCATGTAAAACACGCTACACCTTCCTTGATCATTATGAAATGCTCATTGTTTGTCTTGGTGTTGTGCAGTTAATAATTCCTCGGAAATTTATTTTTAATTTGTTAATTGCATTTTTTACATGTGCTATACATTTTATTATATTTTTTTCGTTCTTGAATTTTCAATTGTTTTGAATAATACGCTCACAAAAAAGCACATATAAAAAAGTCATTCAACTACTGGAAACACACATAAAAATAATATCCTTCAAAATGTCCAGCCAAGAGTATGTTTTAATTTGACTTTTGAATGGATCAGAATCACTCATTAACAGTGTCTGACTTTTAGCTGGATATATCCATTTGCTGAGTTTGATTAAGCCAGAAAAAATTGGGACATTTTGATATTGTGACTCCAGACCCAAACTAATTACCTATTAAATAAATGAATTTGTGACAACTACTATAGAATCTCAGAAAAGTTAACTCACACAAAAGTTAATTGTCCAGAAAAGATAAGCAAGTTTCGGCTTCCAATGAATACATTGAACAGTTGATTATTTACTTAACTTTTTAGATCGTATGAACACTTTAAATTCGATTCGGTATCTTTTGGAATACAAACAAAACAATAATATTTTTCTCTCGAAATTTCTTACGATACAAATAAAATATGCAATATACGCTATTTAATATTCCATCGAATGGGTTGACACTTATTATCAAATAAAACAAAACAATCCGAAACCAATGATGGAATTTTTTTTAAATTTAATGGAAAATAGATTTTTGTAAGTATAGCTAGAAATCGTGTCATAGGTCTTTCAATTTAGCTCAATTTCAAATTTATCATTCTTTTTCGTGTTCTCGAAGAAAATATCCACTGAAGATTGAATAGAAGCCAGATAACAATAAGGACAGAATATGAAGAATTTAAACCAAAATCGATAATATGTAAAATGATTTTCGATGTATACTAACGAACATCTATTATTACAATAAAATTTAAACAAATATTGCCATGTCATTTATGTCAATTTTAAAAACTATACAGAAAAGTTAATAATTCAGAAAAGTTTATCACCTGAAAGACATTTCGATTAACTTTTCCGAGATTCTACTGTATTTAATTATTTGCCGAAAATGCTTATATTTGGTAGATAATTAGTTTGGGTCTAGAATCACAACATCAATATTTCCAATAACGGTTGACTGAAAGCCATGGATTATTTTAAATGTTCGTTCTATATGGCAAAATTACATTGTATGTGTTATTTTGCCATAAAAAACGGACCATTAAAATAATCCATGCTGAAAGCTTAACGAACGGATACATCCAGCTGAAAATTGAAGACTACTCATAAAACATGTATTATTCCAGCAGGAAGTCGTTTGAGAAGAAGGACGTACCTATGTACAAAATACCAAACCTTAACCATACCGATTATGCTTATCGAGAAGCAGTAAACAGGTTAAAGGTGAGAGTTTAGAAAAGAACGGAACGGGTTTTTGAAATAATGATAGAATTTTTCGTTTTGCTTCTAAGTCGATGTTAGTTGATTCATATAGTGCTACAAAACAAAATATTTTTCGCCCTGGAATTGAGTCTGATGACGCGAACGAAATTTTGGTAATCAACAATACGAATGTTGTCATAAAATTAAAATAAACCTAGAGTCTCTTCTTAAAATTATACAATAAGGTGGTGAAGAGACCTGATTTATCAGAAATCTCCAAATATATACCATCATCTGGATTATCTCGCTGCTTTAATTCACATTTGAACTATACTACCGCAGCCCAAATAAAAGTTTTGAAAACATCCGATTCGATTATAAGTCTTCAACCTGAAAGCCAATTGGCTACAGCACCCATCTCTTCTGTACCTAAGCCAAACAATGACTTGCTTCAATTCATTGAAAAACAAGAAGGTTATATCGAACAACTAGAACGCGAGTCTCAATTTTGTCGGGTAAAATAACTATTTAGATTAATCATTTTCATGATTTAATTCCATTAAAATTTGTACAGGGTGAGCTGAATAATATTCTGAATAAAGTTAAAGATGTCATTAATGAAAATGAAGCTTTGAGTGAACAAACAAAACTAGGTACAATCACCTCGGACACTTCAGATAGTGGAAGTAATGACTTGAATTATAGAAAACAACCAGAAGAACGACACGAAAAAACTCCATTGTACGGACCCAATATCGTTTTTGAATCAAGAATCAGTGAACTTGAAGCACAGTTAGCTCAAGCTGAAATTGATATTAAGAGTCTGTCACAAGAAACCAACACTTCCGAAGTATATAAACGACAAATTGAAACTTTGCAAAGGTATGTAAGATTATGAGAACAAATGTGTTGCAATGCGCAGTTTTTTCTATTGGGTGTATCGATTAGTTTTAAAGGATTTTTTGGCAAAAATATCGCTTTATTTCAATAACAAAATGAATGAATACATTATTCAAAGTATTGGCCATCGTTAGCTATGACTTTCCCCCATCTTTCTGGCAATTTATGGATTCCATCCCAAAAGAACTGCGCCGGCTTGGCGGCCAAGAACGAATCAAGCCAATTTTTGACTTTTTGAAAACAAATGAACCGTCCTCCACTTAGGTGATATTGAATCGACTGAAACCAGTGGTAGTAAGAAAGCGCAATATCTGGAGATTACAGCGGGGGCATAAAGAATTTTCAAAATTAATAGCTTCTTAGAAATTGTGGACTTGATAGCCAAAAAGTCATTAAAAAAATTTCCACAAAAATTCGCTTTTTTGCGGCGATAAGTCAATTTTTCGATTTTGCTGTCAGAAATTGGTATATACCGATTAGTTTCTGTTGGGAACGATAAAAGCTAACATTTTGATAAGTTTCTACCACCCTTTTTCCCGGGAGTGATTGTGGCGCCCCCTATAATGACAAGTAACCACGATCAAAATGTGGTTTGATATGCTTGTGTCTATCGAGAAACGTCCATTCTTCACTACCAGTGGACACTCGATAAAATAATAATCTTTTTTTCACATTTTTTCCGTGTGAAAAAATCAGCTCCCGCAAATGACGCTTTTTCGGTACAAACGAAGACATATTTCATGACTAAAAAAACTATGTTGTTTACACTTCAACGCAGAGACTAATGCTGAAATTTGTAGTTTAATGACAGACAAAAAAAAATGGTGGCGGTGTGGTCCGATGCATATAACACAAGCCACGCCATCCTTTAAAACTAATCGATACACCCAATACTAATCTGCTTTTTTGTCTTTACCCTTTGACGACCAAGATTGAACGGATGGGAATTTTGCGATTCTGATTGCAGATTCGTGCTCAGCGACCCCAAAAACCATAATAAAAATGTTATCAAAAATTAATTTTTTTAACTAGAAATATGAAAAAAAATGATGGGACATATATGTCCCATTGGTCGGTAACGGTAACTACCTTTGTATGGAAAAAAATATGTCTCCCATAAGAACTACGTGTAAAATCTTTTTCGTTTTTAAAATATTCAGAATTGTTTTGAACCGAAAATGGTTTGAATTGTGCTTTGTTGTGCCCATTTAATCACGAATTTAATGATATTTTTGTAAAATTTTGTGTTTGAAAATTCGCGAATAATGGCCAAAATACAGGGAAATACGGGGTATTTATTTACCTTTACCGACCAATGGGACACATTTGTCCCATCGCGCCAAACGCAATAAAAAGTGGAAAAAACGTTTTTTCTAAATAAAGACGATGATTTTTGGAAAGCACATTATTCCAAATTTTCAGCTTTAAAAGTTCCACCGTTAAAATTATATAGCATTTGGCGAAAGTTGAAAAAAAAGTTTAGATTTTTTGACTTTAGAGTGTTCTATCCAATTGCGTTTACAATAAATATCCAATATTATGGTACTTTCTGATAGCTACATTAATTCTCTTTCAAACGAAACCAATTTTACTAAAATTGGTTAAAAAATGTAGTTATTACAGATGAAAAACAAAATGGGACATATGTGTCCCATTGGTCGTCAACGGGTTAATAGTTTTTGACTACTGAAACAAATTATGGTGAATTTGAATTTTATGCTCATATTTTTTATTCAATTCAAACTAGTGGCAGTAACGACAAATAAGTGCATAGTATCATGAAACGCTAATCAAATTTTTATTATCAAATGTTTTTTTTAAAATTACATTAATTTTTCGTATAGTATTTTTTTGAGTCTTGAACAGAATTAAAGTGACTTTCGATTCTATGCTTTTAATCTGCATATATTACTGCAAAGTTACTTCGATGAAATACATTTCATGTAGTGCGCAAAAAAATACGTAAAATCGGAGCAAAGCGACACTCTGAGGTCTTGCTTTATTATTCCTGAATGATTTGGATATTGGGAATGGGGGGGGGGGGGTGAATCGTTCCACTTTTTTTCAAATCCAAATATCTTCGCCACAGTTAGGCATTTTGAAGAACCTAATATGTCAATTGATAGATATTAATAATGCGCAACTTTTGATATAAAACACTTATGGTGTGCGACCTGCTCGGAAATTTTTATGGCCAATTTTCCGACCACCATTTTTGGGGGGCGAATCGTTCCACCCACGAATATTCCATACTATTAATTCACAAATTTCAAATGCCTATTCGCATTTGAAAGGGCATCCTTAAAACTCACCAAATACAAATTTTGAGCATATCAACCGGTTTGGTGGGTGAATTATGTAGGTTTTTAGCTTAACCCTCTACTGCGCCATTTTTTCACAGAGCTGGGAATTTTATTCAAGGGGGAAACTACTACTACCGCATGATTCATATTAATACAATCTAGTACAACACAAATTCTGATAAATTCCAAAAAATTCTGCGCAATTCAAAACAATTCCAATCAATTCCGATGTTCCTTGGTCAAATTTGGTGATGATCAACTCAAAATATCGCAAATATAGAGACATTTACCATTCATTTGAATGCATATTGAAGATTTTTACTTCCAGAACATATTTGACTTGGTTTGATCTACAAGACTCAATTCTAGCTCTGTTTTCTATTTTGAAAATATTTTATGTATCATAAAGCCTTTACCTATTTGAAGTGAAATATTGAATTGGAAGTGAGACCCATGTACAATTAAAAACGTCCTATCTGAAGTTATTTCGGTAAGATTTTACATCTATGCGCTTAAGCATTCCTTTGAGATGCTAAATGACCCTATATTTGCAATTTTTGAAGTTGATCATCATCAAATTTGACATCGGAATTGATTACAGATTTACATTTTCGATATGTTATTAATATGTTATAGTCCGACATATTTATTATTATGTTATGTTGGGATTTTTTTTATCTTAATAACGTTATTAAGATTCAGCATAATAATAACATAATATGTTATGCGTTATATCGGGTGTTATCTTAATAAATCCTAAGATTCGGCGGTAATAACATTTTATTAACTATAATAATAACATATTATTAAGATGGATTTATTAACTCAATTAATAACATATTATTAAGATGCAATCTTAATAACGCTTTTTTCGCGCATTCTTTTCCCTAGCTGGAGAGAAAAAAAGCACTGGATCTTTTTTCCACTATGGGTGTACAGTGTATGGTGTACGCACCTATAACAATGCAGACAAAATATGGTAAATTGATCCTTTCAAGGTCGGGACTGGCGATTTCCTCAGAGCCATGAAACCGAACTGTCAAACTACAACGGGGACCGCGTAGTCGGTTGTCATTCGTTGCGGAACGCGCTAAAAGTATGCATAAGTACATGAGTACATATTTCAAGCATTCTGGTTAAAAAATATTTCAATTATTTATAAAAATATACCTAGTGTATTAATATGAAAACCCATTTTTAATAACATTTTAGAAACGTTTGAAAAAATACCGAAAAAGAATATGAACTTTCTTTTTTTTTGCTCAGAAATTCTTTGCTAACATTTTTCTTGTTTTTGATTGACAAAGTGAGGTTAAGTCAGTAGATAACATGTTCAATGTGTAGAACAAATTTGTGCACTCGGTGGAACAAAGCCATTGTGTGTTTAAGGAGCCACTTTATTCCCATGGCTCCTGAAACACATTTTCAAGCTCACTTTGTAGGAAGCGAACGTAAAAAATGAGAAAATTGAATTAATTGATTTCAAAATTCATTTGAACATCAGCAAATCTAAAGAAAACTTAGATAAATATGTTCATGTTGGAAACATTTTTCTAAATTTGATAATGTGGATGTGTCATCCAAATCATTCATTGCATTTAAATAGGAAATAAAGAATTGTTTCTAATAATTTTACACAAATATTCATTTTCCACTTGATTTTATCATTTTTATTCACTCCATGAATAATATACGTTCACGAAAATACGTTGTCTTTTTCAATAGTTCAAATTCAACGAGTCGTTCTACGAAGGTGCACTTAAGACTGTCTGGCGTGTATTTAATTTGTACTTTATTCTGACAGCCGCGTTGTAATTGATGATGACAGTTCGGTTTCGCCCCTCTGGATTTCCTAAACTTAATGGTTAAGTTCAATACATGATAATTCCGTTTCAAAGAGTCATTTTAATTTCATTGCAACAGTGCAAAAATTCATGTGTGTACTGTGTACTCCGCAGTGAAAAAACAACTTTTTAGTACTCCGGTGAAAAAAAGCGCGAAAAAAGCGTTATTAAGATTGCATCTTAATAATATGTTATTATTATAGTTAATAAAATGTTATTACCGCCGAATCTTAGGATTTATTAAGATAACACCCGATATAACGCATAACATATTATGTTATTATTATGCTGAATCTTAATAACGTTATTATTATGTTATGTTGGACCAATATATCGGCCGTTATTATTATGTTATTAAGTAAAGTTAATAATATGTTATTACTTGTAAATCTGTAGAATTGATTGGAATTGTTTTGAATTGCGCAGAATTTTTTGGAATTTATCAGAATTGGTGTTGTACTAGATTGTATTAATATGAATTATGCGGTAGTAGTAGTTTCCCCCTTGATTTCTAGGGTAATTTTGAGCAAAAAATGACGAAAAAAATAATGAAAAGCTCGATACAATTTTCCTTTAGCCGGAAAACTCGGAAAATTACACCCCGCCAAAAGCCCTTCTTGCGTGTATTTACGCCTTCCTTCAGCCCGCCAAAAGGCGGTCTTGCGCGCAAACTACAGTTTGCATTAAAAGGGATATTTTTGTATTTTTCCTGTTTTCAATGTAATTTCAACTTCTAGACAACATAACAATAAAACTTCACGTTGAAATACAATAAATCTTTGCCAGACCATAGCTCTGAGTATCCTATCTCCGCTGGTATATGACATATAGGCCAACATTTCTTGTGAGGGGTACTTCTAGTGTATATATTTGAATTAAGAATGAAAAGAAATGGGCAGAATTCTATAGCTGTGCCATATTCGTATCTTAATAACCATCCTAATAATTTTGAGAGATTATTGAGATCCGTTCATAATACCGATAAATCTTAATAACGCTATCAACTTTTTATCAGGTTATTAACTATATTCAAATAATAAGGTTATCGGATTAATCTTAATAATATCGTTTTGAAGTTATTAAGATCGAATCCTGATAATTTATCAACATTCAATCTTAATAATCATCAAGTTCTGGAAGTGGGTTTTGGTGAATCCTCAGGATCGACCAGAACTGCTCCCAGTTCTGGAAGTGGATCTTCAGGATGGACCAGATCCGGTTTGACACTGCCCTTGGCCCATCCTGAAGATCTACTTCCAGAACTGGGAGCAGTTCTGGTCGATCCTGAGGATCCACCAAAACCCACTTCCAGAACTTGATGATTATTAAGATTGAATGTTGATAAATTATCAGGATTCGATCTTAATAACTTCAAAACGATATTATTAAGATTCATCCGATAACGTTATTATTTGAATATAGTTAATATCCTGATAAAAAGTTGATAGCGTTATTGAGATTCCATCATAACAACGATATCGAACGATATTTTTAGTTTATTACGATATCTTGATGAAAAAAAATCGTGAGCACAGCTATAGCAGAATTCACAGTTCAGAAGCTATTCTCTAGCAACCCTATGCTTAGTTGTATTGAAAGTCTTCCTGATTATAGTCCTAGTTATCCTCCTTTCAGCGGCAATATAGCATGTGGGCCAATTTATCTTATGAAAGGTACCTCTTGTGTATCTATTTGAAGTCAGAATGAGGAAAACTGAGGAAGACCCAATTTTCTAAACCTATTTCTGGGCAACCCTACACTGGAATTTAATGAAAATTTCCCAGACAATAGTCTCGGATGTACCCTTTCCAACGGTATGTTAGAAGTGGTACTTTTGATCTATATATTTCAATTCGGAATGAAGAAATATTATGGAAACCGCCAAAAGGCGGTCTTGCGAAGTGTGAATTTTTTCTTTCCTGTACTCGCAAGACCTCCTTTTGGCGGGTCCGCTATATTGAGGCCCCAAATTGTAACCAAATATAAAAATGATGCAATAATGATCAAAATCAAATGAATACCTCCTAATTTACCTGCAAAAAAATCAACGACCACTGAAAATAGGTAAAAGGTTACCACACAGAGAAATGTCAAAATATTGACAACGACAATTTAAAAAAAATGAAAATGTGTCGACATCCCATCGTATGGTAATATAACTAAATGAGACAGCTCCCAATGAGCTGAGCAGCTCATTTATTGAGGAGCTGGCTTATTGGGGGCGTTCGCGAACATGCCCGAGTGTCAGAAGAAAATTGGAGAATTCCTGGAATTTAGTGTCGAAAGATTTTTCTTGTATACATATATATGGTATACCATATAGTGAGTTAAGGTTAAATACCACAGAAAAACTGTAAAAAAAACTCTCAACAAGCAAAGCTTATAATATTTCTTTCTTCAAAATGGAAAAATTGATATTTATTTTCAGAGACAAAAAGGAACTTGAAGACACTGGCCGAAAATTACAATGTTTGGTGGACTCGTTGAAGGCAACCGATGCTCAAAATTTTTCAAATTCTTTGCGGTCACGAGATATTGCAGAACAAAGCGCTTTTGATAAAGCGCATTCTGACATGGAAATTCGTCGATTACGAGATGAACTTGAGAGACAACATGCCCGCGTTCGCGAAATGCAACATGAAATGACAAAAAAAATTGCTGAAGAACGTTCCTCAGTTGAACGACGTTATAATTATCAAGTTGATCAGCTAGGTGGAGACCTAAGCAATCAGTGGGAAACTGCATCGCGTTTGCAACTAGAGCTAGAGCGTCAAAAACGAGCTGAAGCGGACTATCGAAGAGATTTAGCACAAAAAAATTCACAAATAGAGGATCTTAGATCTGAAATTAAACAGAAAACAGCATCGCTTCTTTCAGATATCGCACAAGTGAATGCTGAAAAACAATCCCTAGAACAAGAAATAACGTCACTAAGATTACAGCTTGAGCGCGCTGAACGCCAGTCGAAAGTTGAATCATCCAGGTTAAATGCTGAGGTCGTGTCATTACGTCAGCGATTAGATCGTGCTGATGCCGACTTACTTCAATCAAAACGCGAGAACTTACGATTAAGTGACGAAGTTGCAGCTTTAGACAAAGAAGTAAGTTTACAAGACCACTTCTAGAAATACTCAGAGACTGCCGAATGTCTGATCTTTGGCGCTTTCCAATCAGCAGACACTGTTTGCCAGACATTTTGCAATCTCTAAGTATAATTTTTTCTTATTATTCAAAGATTTACCGCAAATGTCTGGGTGTATATTGGGCAGAATGGGCATTCGACAAATTTGTTCATTTTTACATCTAAAATGAAAACTCCATGCCAAATGAAAACTCCATGCCATTTCGAAGTTATAGGATTTGAATTTTTTTCACAAGGCTATAACTTCTGGCTGGCATCTATTGGTGTTCGAAATCGAACAACGTTTCAAATTTTGTTCCCAATCGCGCTTCCATTGGAAGCACACAACATATAATTAACAGGCAGACATGGTCCATGAGTTAGTTATGATTCAACTGTCGAAAGGAATGGACAAATTAGATGAATATTCAAATCTTGGAAAATTTGCCGAAATGACTTCGGGTAGGACGATTTCAATTGTAGATTTTATGTAGTTTAATGTAGTGTTTTTACTTTTTTTATGTAGGAACAATTTTTTTGAGTAATCGGCTATCGAAAAACTGCTAAAAAATGGAACAACTCAAATCTTGGTAAAAAAAACGTATTTTCCACAAATCAATTTTTTTTTCGAATGAAGAATGGTTCCAAAAAATTTAAGATAAATTGTAGAATTCAAATCAATCGTCTGTTCCCAAATATGTCTGCCCGTTCGTTCGATATCGGGACGAGTCTTGAAAATTGGTCCAAAATCGGTAATACTCAAATCTTGGCCACAAATTGAAATTTCCACAAACTGAATCTTCCTCTTTTGCTGCTAGGTTCCATAAAATTGTAGAAAAAATGTAGAATTCAAATCAGTCATCCGATCCTTGATGTTTTCAACAACTTTTTTGGCTCCAGGGGAGTTTAATATTTAATATGGGAATAAAACTGCTATAAAACGTGTTTTAATAATTAAAGTAACCAAGAATTAATTGTAGTGGCCCGAAAATAACTGTAGAAGCACCTACAGTTATTGTAGTGGCCCGAAATGACAAATTAAAAATCCAAGTGAAACCAACCATCTTTTATTTTACTTTATTTTTCCATTTTGCTCTGAAACACTTTGTTGGCAAATCCAACAAAAATGGAGGCCCCGGCGTGATATAATACAAAGTCTCGCTGTTTTACCAAATTTCATCGCCAAGACAGCGTCACCAACCTCGTCAAGTGAGCAAAACATTTTCAAATTTGTTGCCTGATCACCAAATTTGGACAGCACACGACGACGAAAACGAAAAATTCCCAGAAGGATATACATTAGACTGCTCCAAAAAAAAAGATGGTCGAAGAAAAAAAGTGTCATCCAGTTTCGAAAAATATACCTAAA